AGATGGGACAACTTTGAGGTGTAAGCTACAAACACAAGGGACAGATAGAGTGTCCTGACTCCCCCAGAGGGGCTGAGACCAGTTGCTCACAGAAACAATGCACTCATCCTGTATTGGCTCTCTTTTTCATCTCACTCCTGGGTTCACCGTCCAGATAAACTACTTACACAGGAATCCTTTCTCTGGGGAACACAATCTCAGACATCTGGTGACTGTGCAGATGAAGGCTACATGCTAAGGATGGAAAGAAATCTAGAAGTCCTTAGATAAAAAAAGACTTGGATGGAGCTCTTGATGCCAAACTTGGGCTCCTGTTCTAGCCTTGGGCTGAGTTTCTCTGGACTTTGTGTTATTTGAGAAAAATAAACCTCTTACTTGGGTAGGCCACCACAACCGGGTTTCCGTGGCACGCAGCCAAATGCAACTGTAACTGAGAGACATCTGGAGGAATTCTCAGTTGAGTCCAAATGCAACCAGTCATCAGTTGGACACGCCTGCTAATAAAGCTGACACTATGGCTATGTGATTACCAGACCCTAACACTATACTGCGTGTCATAACTTGCAGTGTGTGCTTACATGGTGCTGTATTTAATCCTCACGTTAATTTTGTGAGGTAGGTGTTATCAACTCCATTTTATTGACGTCCAGAGAGGCCAAGTCCCAAGATAGGGGCTAGGTGTTCATTCTAAGGAGTCGGTGGCATTTAAGAAATGAGTTGACCTCTACTTGTTCTCTGCCTGTGTCCTGAGATCCTGTGCTTTTCCATGCCTGCTTCACTGCCATGGGACTGCAGACATTTGCTCTCCTCACTGCCACACCTCATCACAAACTCTACACACTGATCATAAGCTCTGTAAGACAGGGGTCCCCAACCGCCCCAGCCTCAGACTGGTACCCCTCTGTCAGCGGCCTGGGCTGCACAGCAGGAGGTGAGCGGTGGGGGAGCGAGTCAAACTCCCTCTGTATTTATAGCCACTCCCCATTCATCACATTACTGCCTGAGCTCCACCTCCCATCAGGTCAGTGGTGGCATTAGATTCTCATAGGAGTGAGAATCCTACTGTGAACTGTGCATACGAGGGATTCAGGTTATGCACTTCTTATGAGAATCACCCTGAAATCATCCTGCCCACCCTCACCCTCACCCACCCACTTCCCCTGTTCCCAAAAAGGCTGGGGACCACTGCTCTAAAACATGTGCTGAATCCTCTTATCTCTAGGCCTTTGCTCAAGCTCTGCCTTTCCTAAGAATGCTTTATTTTAGCAGTGGGAAACTGCTGTACTTAGGCCAGGTGAGGATGCTCCGGTAACTGCATTCTCATGCTAACTGTAGGTAGGACACCCATCTCAGTATGGCTTATAGCACTGAAAACATATAGATGCTTAGCAAACATCTGTAAAATTTAAATGGGTAGACACAGTAGCATCCAAGTTAACTTCAAATTTACTCCTGCTCAAAATCATTAACATCAAATTCCACCACACATAAAAATGAATACATCTCCACAGAAGACTTCAGACGAACAAAATATACTCCACTGAACATTTAATGCATTACGTTCAAGTACAACTTTTTTTTAAAAAAAGGACAAAATTGTTAAGTATTCATTAAAATGGTAACTATTTAAACATCATCTGAACCATATTAAGTAGCTCATTTATTTTTATGAAATGTGTTGAGAACCTAGGAGTTTATACATAAGGCTTAGCATTTTTTTAACACTGCCGGCCTAGGAGAGAAAAGATTGTATTCTTTAAATGGTGATTCAGGAAATCTGATATATTCAATACTTGTGTTACAATAGCTGGTGTGTGGAGGCAAGACTAGCACCCATGACTTGTTGGGCCCTGGAAACAAGAATGCCATGCTCCCATGCTGCTCAGGGATACAGAATACAAAATCTGACCTAGGGTGAAACCACGTGCAGGGCGTGGAGAGGACTATGGTGGGGGTTCACTGAGGACAAAAGGGAAAGCTGTGAATTTTCACTTTAAAATATATGTTAAGTGAGGTGAAGAAGCTAGGAGCCTTACAACCATGCCGTGTCAGCAACTCCCAAGATACTTATATCAAGGTGGCTGGGAGGAGATAAACATGTTCACTGGGCCAGACTCAAGAACTAAAGTGTTGGAACAGACACAACTTTGAGGATAGGCTTATCAAACAGCTTATAAACAAGTGGCATACCAATTCAAAAGATGCCTGACTGGTAAGGAATTTCAGCTGGCAAGGAATCTCTAAAAATGTTTATATGCCTTGTCTTGGTCAATTTATTTTACAAAGCCACCATTTCATTTCACAAGGATGATAAGGGTCATTAAATCCCAATACAAGACAAAATTTATAAATGACATGACAGAACTATTGCAAATCCAATTTGCTGACTAAAGGCATGTTCACCAATTATAAAATCTAGCAAGACAGAAGGATAATTACACCACCACTATTGTCAAAAGACTGTTAGACTGTAGTTGAAGTTCAAAAGGTTAAGGATTTTACAAAAAGAGAACATGAGCATTAATTATATACGAAGAGTAGTTGATTAATCAGCTAGAGAAAATGTTAGCGAGTGTGATTTTCTTCCTGTGAACAACTATTTCAGATTTAGAAAGTCACACCGGCTCCACTTAAATTTTGATTTACTTTATCAGTGGCACCATAACCTGGAATACTCAGAGTAAGCCAATTACTTTGGCCACTAAATTGTCACCATTACACTTCTAAAGTAATTTATCCAGGATACACTAGAGTAGCCTATACTTGTTATACAGTATTATGCAACTTATAGTTTTTTCCTGAATATTTCTTGTTATTTTTTCCAAGCCCTGTTTCCTAGGACTTTGATCATTAAATATGTCTACCTTAAGGTTCCAAATACCTATGTCTATTATGAAAACATGTGGGGGTAAATTCATTTTCTTTAATGTGACAAGCTACATTCTAAAAAGGACCCCAAACCTGCTATATTGTTACAAGTTATGAAGTGCTATCTAAAGATCTGAGGGACGTTCAAGGGACAGACTCAGACCTTAGAAAGGGATTTTAAAGAATTTTAAATTCTCAAGAGAAACATTCTGGGAAGGGAAGAAGAGTTCTATAATCTAGGGCATGTTCCAGAGCCCTTGTTCTCATAGCCAAATGTATGAAAACAGTTTTCTTTAAAGGAATACAGGTCTATGAGCCAAGACAAGATTTGGCTAAATGATTGGTAGCTTTTGTTTGGCTCTGGAGGTTTCCATGGAAACAGCCTGAGAGACAGAAAAGGCAGCATTATCGTCTTTATCTGAAATGCCATCTGATAAAACTGAATATCGATTCACTCATACTATCCAGAACAGATATATTACTTCTGATAAGCCTTTACAAAGGGAGGCAGGAGTTCTATCTAGTCACACTTCAAATTTCCTGTCTTCCTCCATTTGAAACCTTAAATTAAAATCCTGATAAAACCTCCCCTGAACATTTCCCTCAGGAGCCTCTAGTTCAAGTAAAGCTTCAGTAGTCAGAAGCCAAATGAAGAAATGTGAAGCACACGGAGCTCCACTGCCGAGTTCTTAAAATTGTATGATGCCAAGCTCACTGTAGTTGAAGAAATGACTCTGAAGAATATTTACAATTCCATTACGTCAGATCTCAGCCGGGCAACAAACACTGTCCAAAGTGTTTATTATACACAGTTGAATCAGGTGGCATCATTCATAATTTTTCTCCCTCTTTATATCTAGATCATTTGTATGTGTGTGTATATATATACCTATACATCTGTATTTATATATTTAATATAGTAACACACACCACACACCATTATCTAATCTTATTTCAGGTTAGTGCTTCTCAGAAAGGCCACAAAAGCAGCCCTAGCTTAAAATTCTACATCTGATGTACACAAAAATAAAAACCTCAGCAACAATAAAATATAAACAAGACAAACAAGGTAAGAAGGCATGCAACCTTTAGCACCGTATTTAAGACGATAGAGTAAAGAGTGTTGACAGAGGTCCAAAGAGGAATTCAGCTGTGGGTTTTCCTCTGGAATGAGCTCCCAAACACAGAACTGTCTCTTAGAGTCCAGTACTTTTAAAAAGGGAAAGCCTGAGAAATTCTATTAACAGAAATGTAAAAATCCACAATTTACCAGAGACAGATGATTTGACACTGCTTCTTATTCTAAAAACAATGAAGACATTATTCTTTAGGAACAAATTTTTCACTTTGGAAGATCAGCTGAGAAATCACTGCCAGCTCGGTGAGCTAAATGATGACTCAGTAAGTTAAAAAGACTGCTATACCCTCACAAGGACCAACTTACTCATGAAAAGTAGCTTACTCACGAGCAGTTATGTCCCTGATATCTGTATAGCAATATATTCAAGGGCGATACTGAAAAGATTCAATCGAGCATATACAATTGTATACTCCACCAGCAAGACATCCGAAAAACACCCACACCTCTATGCATAGCATTGGTGCGGGAATCCAAATCACAGAATAAAATCTCAGCTCAGTCCTTTCTGTAAAAAGGGACTCAAAGTCTAGGGAAGGGTTTATTAAGAAATGAGCTGAAGATTCTTATAGTTTAAAGGTGGCAGGTAAGAAGTCAGAGGGCTAGAAAGGACTTCCGATATCATCTAGTGCAAATCTCTCATCTTACTGGTGGGAAAACTGAGGCTTCAAGAGAAGTGTTAGCTTTAAACAAGGAAAGAACCGTGACTAGAAAAGTCACGTAATTTTGGGTGTGGTACTTTCCCCGTTACACTGATCTCTCAGACCCCTTTAAATCTTAATGTGTATCATTTAATAAAGCTTGGGGAAAATGACTGAGAAAGATCAGATAGGAAAAATGCTGGATTTTAAGAAAGATTTTGGTAATAATTCATGTTCTGATAGGCTTAATATTAATGAGGGGGGAAATCCTACTTATTTTTTGGTAAAAATGTTATTTTCTGCATGAAACATGTTCTTTTTCTGCAAGCTGTTTTTGTAGGTATGAGGGTAGCTCACAGCTGGCAGCTTTCACATGACCCATCTTTGTAGTTAGAGTTCGATTCGGTAGATCCTGCATCATCAGGCGGGCTGAAATGACTGCTGTCTTGAGAATCAGTATCAATACTTTTTGTCTCTGACTGAGGGTGGACGGAAACTTGAACTGCTATCTCCTGGCCTTGTTCACTCAGGGAACCATCATCTGAATCTCCTCCTGGTGAATTACTCCGGCCTATCTCTGGGTTAATGACAAAGATGCCATCTTGAGCATTCAAGGCAGGTCTCTCTTTAATTCTCTCTCCCATCTCATCAGGGTCATCCACTCGCACAGCCTCAAACATCTCCTCTACAAAGGCCCGGCAGTTTAGAATAAGGGGTGGCAGAGGGACGCTTCTTGCCAGTTCTTCGATATAACGAGCAAACTCCATGGTTTTAAATTGCGTGACTTTGGCGAGTTCCAGAGTCTTGGCCGAGGTGATGATGGGGATGCGTTTTGCAATCTCAAAGGCCTTCTGAAGTTTCTCTGCCCCTTCAGTTCGGAAGAATTCATTGATGGCTTTTTCAGTTTTACGAAGATGGCTGCTCATCATGCACAACCGTGTCACATTCAAGATGAGAGTGATTGTAAAGGCAATCAGGCAAACCACCATATAGTAGACACTCATGTCTCCCGAGGTGAAGATGACACGCAGGGTGACCGAGTAGGAGGCACGGGTTGGAGAGGTGATATAACACGTATAGAGCCCACGGTCGGCAAAGGCTACGTTGGTGATATTCAGGAAGTTATCAGAAACCAACCATTTTCCACCTGATAACCCAACAGAAATGAAAAATTACAGCATAAAGAATACTATTACTAAATATGCAAACTGCCTTATCAATATTCCACCTCTTCATGAGAGCACGTTACATCAACTCATCTATTAGGTTCTGCTATTTCGTTAAATGATGTAAGAAAGGGCAGACTTTTATGTTCAGAGTCTGAATTTTAAACAGCCTGGAACTTAAAAAAGGGAATCAAGATCTTCCTGAAACTAATGATTATCGTAGCTGCCTTTTCAGTGCGAGATGTAAGACACCATTCAGGGAGACAGGTGTGTCAACATAATGCTAAGTGACTAACCTTAAAAAGAAATGTTTATATATATGTGTGTGTAAAAGTGTCTATGTCACAGTCTCTACCTACACCTTCTCATAAAGTAGAAGGCTATGTCTCAGAAATACAAAACAATGGCTATTTATAGGGTAATGAGTAATTTTTACTTCCTTTTTAACTTTCAATAATTTACTGTTTACTTATTTACTTAATAAAAGACAAAATTATTTCTAAAAAACCCTACCAATTTAATGTATTTGTTCAATTACTAACTGGCTAATCTGGCATGCCTTGCACATGTTAATTTGTCTTGTTAGAAAAGGTTGGTTGATGATAACATCTTGATTTTCTGGCCAGAGTAAATAAAGCATAAGCCAAAAGCGATGTCTCACAAGTGAGGGTAAATGAACAGCTTGGCAGACAGAATAAAAGTTACCCTGAGATGCCTAGGCTTCTATTTTAAATTGAAAACATACTGCCTTTCTTCCATACGTGAAGGTATCTTCATTCAGGAATGTGTATACAAACGTACATGAGTATGAAAACCAAAGCACAAGGACCAACATCCTTTAATAACTTGGCTCTGCCTGCACAGTTCTCACCTAAGTTCTCAGTGTATAAGCCATTCAAAGATAGGACAGATGGGCTAACATGGGGTGTAGGGTATGGGTCCCCAGGGCTACAGGTGGTATCCCAGGGAAGGCTGTGTGACTGCTTGTTAAGCACCGCTTCAGTGCCTCATCTTCCAGCTCCCTTTCATCCCTGAGATTCTACGGTTCAGGATTTAGGGGCACTTCAATTAGTAAGTACTGTGGACCATGCCCATTCTTATCTACATCAAAATTTACCTAAATTCTGTAGTTATATTTTTACTAATGTAAAAAGAAGAGGAAAACATGTAGCTGTGAATATAGTCATTATTTTACAAGCTTCTGTCTATAAACCTGGAGCTATAAAAAAGATACCCTGTGAATCCACAGTATGATGAACTATATACATAGACTCCATTCATCAACCACTATAACCACAATCTAAACTCTCTAGCTCACTTGCTGATAATAGCTCAAGATTTATGAACCTTATGCTAGACTGACATGCTCTTTAAACTCCTCTCACTTGAGATTCATAAAATTTAATACAATTGTCCAGAGCTGCTGCTGAAAGCATCAGTGATATATGTTAGCGGTTTTCAAAGTAAAGGCAAAATAGAAAAATAAAACTGCCATTCTACTTGGCTGGTCTCCTAAAATCTGTTTACATGACCAGTCTATAATAATCACACTAACTGAGTAACTCACATCTTGGATGTGTCTGTCAGGACCCTAGGGCCAAAAAAGATGAGTCTAGTTCAGTGGATCCAAATAAGGAACCCCAAATCATGTTCAAAATACATGTTCAGGGCACCACTCTAGACATTCTAGCTTAACAGGTCTATATTCTCAAGAAGCTCTGTTCTTTCTAACATTCTAACTCTTTAATTCCTTGGTGGCCAGTTACTCAGTCTGTAGAAGGTTAAAATGTTTAGCATATACTTTAGAAGGAAGCACCATCTGTCTCCTTTTCTGTTTTCCAGTCTAATATAAGTATCCAAATATCCTTATATTCCAATAGATTAGACTATCTTTCTAACAGAAAATACAAGCAGGCCTTTTCCAAAGTGTAGCTTGTGAGGATACCATAATTTAATCTTTATCCCATTGATAGTTCATGGCGATTTCTAAGGTGTTTTAACACAGGTAGTCTTCAAAAAAAAATCTAACACAACACTAGGTAAAGGAAACAATATTCTGATTAAGATGTGTTCAAAGGTTCTTAAATAGCAAAATCAAATAAAAACCTGTCAAAAGGTAGACCTTGGTCACCTTTCTATGATGTCTGTATGATTTTTTAAGACTGAGAAACAAAAATATATAAGGGAAACTTTCCTATTTTCACGCAAATTAAGGTACAGAATTAAAAAGAGAAATGAGCTGGAAGGGCTTATAAAGTTCCTCCTCAGTGCCCTTCTGATTCTCAGAGGGACTTGATCTTTATAACCATTTTAGAAAATATCCGGGATTTCCTCCAACATTTTAAGTAACTCATTTTGAGTAAAAAAAAAAAAAAATATTTATGACAAGTTTACTTAACCAAAATCCTTCTTGCTCTACTCATCCAGGGCCAGCACACTGTATTACTCACATTACAGTCTAGGTAACGGTGCCCCCGGAGCTGTGCAGTTCAGAGTCCACACAGCTGTGGGCAGCAACCCTGATGGAGCCAACCTTGAACGAAGATGGAAACCAGTTCGCCAAGAGGGGAAAAAAGAGCTCACCATCAATATGTGAACACTTGTTAAATTTGTAACCATACTTTATTTTTTTTCTTCTTCTGGTTCAGTAATTACCATTATTTCACTTTTCCTGATAGGTATAAGACCCCAGGCCTTTCAAAAGTTTTAACTATTTATTGTAGTACCTCATCTTGGAGATTTCTTGTTGAAAATGTCATAAAACCAAGATTGAAGTAACAGGAAATGAGTAACTTTGACTAATTATACTCTGGGATAATTACCTCTGTCTCTGTCATCCAGCTGCTGTCCTTTTGAGTTGTACCAAGAGACCTGTTCATAGCGGTCGACTGTGAGGAGACACTTGATTGAAACACTAGTTCCCTCTCTGGCTATGATGACATCATCACCAGAGTGGGAATCCGATGAGAGTTCAAAACTTGGAAGAAATGATGCATTGGAAGAGCTGTGATTTGTTCCCAGTGGGATCATTTGGTTGAAGTCTACATCTTCCAAAGCAAAAGCAGCTGGCACAATAACACTCACCACTAAAGTGGATAAACAACGAAGTGGCTTCATGGGAAAATGGGAGAAAATCTTGTTTATATTTGGAGAACTCAATAGCTTCTATATCATAACAAGAGCACAGTGGGTCACTGATTGCTTGGTATTGGAATCTTCCAAAAAAAAAGGTAGATCCAGGTATATTCTGGAGTCTTCAAGATTAACAGAGATGAGTAGAGACCAACCTGAAAGAGAGCCAGATATAAAATTTAACCAACAAAGACTCATAATGGAGTGAAACTCTATGTTCAAGAAATAAATAGATGTGAAACTGATTAGAATAACTGACATCAATATTATGAAGTGAAACAGTGAAAATATCACCTAAAAATTTCAACAGTCAGTAGAAAGAACACTGAACTGGGAAATGGCAGATCTAGATTCTGGTATTAGCTTTGCTAATAACTAGCTGTAAGCCCTTGGCAAATAGCTATGCTTGTTTTCTCATGTGTCAAATGGGGACTAGATGAGACAATCTCTAAGGGCTCTTCTAGTTCTGAAATGTTGTGATTCTATTTCACTCTGACAAATTCCATGCAAGCGGGAGCCAGTGAAGGTTAAAATATTTAACTTAATGATCTTTTATTCCAACCTGCACCATTACCATCTGCTGTTATATCAATAATGTAAATCAACTGCTACATAATAATTGTAACCATGGAGTTCAAAATTTGAGTAATTCAAGTATACAGGCATTAGATATAAATAATGCAGGGCTACTTGAAGTAGTTTTTTTGTTGTAATATTAGAAAACTGCACCACTATGCATAAATAAATAGTTACTGACTTTTGAGGCTATAGAAATTCCCTCTTGGGCAAGAACATTAAACAAAAGAATTTTCCTTTAATAATTTCTTCAATATCAAGAGATAAAATACAGTATATTTAATAAGCTTGTAAGAATACCAAATTTCTAACTCAAAGTCTATAAACTAGCTATGGGAGGAATTGACACCTTAAATGTCTAGTTAGCAGAAATACAAACTACAGACAAAGATTATTAATACATTTAAAAGAAGAGTAGAATATCACAAATGAAAGCAAAATAATATTCCAGTTCAAGAATCTATGTGATTACAATCAACTTCCTGGTAATCTGATTCCTCTTTTAAAATCACTGACTCTTAAAGAAAAATTTCATTTGAATTTCTATAAAATATGGGATGAAACACCTAGCTTTATTTCTTATAAGGACCAAACTAAACAGTTTTGGAAATGACACTTACTTCCCTGTATACTCATACAAAAGCTGCTTGATCATGTAACACAAAAAGCAACAGATCATTGTATTTTACCATTAAACTGCTCAGTCTAAATGACAGTTAAGTTGTAAATATCATTTAAATTTCATTAGTCCTTGAAAGGATGGTTAGATGATGACAATAATTTTCTCTATCTTGCAAATTTAAGGAGGGACCATTTGAAGTAAAACAAAGAACTTCAGAGTTTGCTATACATAATAGATGAACACTGTGTTTTCATTTCTTCCCCAAATCCCGTTAAAATGACACAAAGCCCTTGGGCACTGAAGGGGGATTACAGAAGTGATCTGATCTAACCTCTTCACCTTCTTGACTTGCTCTTCTTATTATATAGTAAGCAGGAGATTCCTGGCCTCTATTGGGAGGGAGTTGAGGGTGGAAACAATGGAAATAAAAGTTTACAAAATGACTGAAGTAAGCCAGGCACTGTGCTCCGGCTTGATATATATAAGCTCTCAACTTCTTTTCCACTACAACTGGCAGATATGATTTTTGTCCTTTATTCTAGACTACTGGTTCTCAATGGTGATAGGAAATGAATGTGATGAAAAGTACTCCAAGTTTCACCCAGGACTTCCATATGGAGATTCTGTGGCTTCATCCAAGTTGGCATTTCCCAAATTGCATTCATTTCTTCTACTGTCATGATTTGTTTAAAAACTGTACCTTTTATTTTTTATGCTTTTCTTAAAATTATACTTTATGCTTTTCATAAATTATTATTTATGCTTTTCTTAAACTCATTGTCTTTCACACATGTATGTTAAAAGGAAAGTCTGGATAAGAGTCTGGATAAAAGTAACTGTACCCCCCGCACAAGGCAGACAAAGCCATGTTTTTAACTTGCAGAGATACTTCTCTCTGTTGACGGCTCTGAGCTGCAGGCCTGCTCTCTTTGCAGAGAAAACAAAACCTCCCTCCTTCAACTCCAGTTGATTCTAAAAGCACCTCATTCTTATCCTGCCTTTCCTTTCCTCCCCACTGCTTCCTACCAGAGTCTACAACCCACTACTTTAGACTAGGGGTATACATTTTCATCTATTCAGCAGTGTCTACTGAGTACTTACGATGTGCCAACCTACTGTACCACAGACACTGTCTCTGCCTTCATGGAACTCAGTCAGGTGGAGGACATGGTCATTAAATACATACAAAATACACTAAATGCTACCCGAAGGAAAAGTACAGGATGCTACAGAGAGCTAACCATGTCACAGAAAGCCTCCCTGAGAAAGCAAAGTGTGTGACAGGACCTGGGGGATAAACGGGAATGGAGACTGCTGGGGGGAGCCATCGAGGTAGAGGGACACGGGGCAGAGAAAAAGCAGATCCGTCATTGGTTAGGGAGGCATTCAAGAAGAAGAGCTACAGGCAGTCATGACAGACGGTGGCCGGTGGCCGCAGAGTCATGGGTCTCATTCCTGATCCTGAAGAGGGGCAGTTTGGTCCAACAGCAAACCTGGAGATAAGACTCTGGGAACTGGAGTGGGAGGCTGAAGTGAGTGAAGGAGACTCACTACAATTAATAATTGTCCAAGGCGAAGCAGTCAAAAGAACTGAGGCTCAAAAGTGAGGCAGATCACCTGTGGGGGTGCTGTCACCCCAGGATCAAGGAAGACACTAGGAATGGAAGAAGTGGACTCACTCTTCCTGCTCTGAGATGTAAGAATTTCAGGGGAATGAACAGCCTCCATGTGAGAGGGCTGTGGGGCAACAGTGTCCTGGCAGTGTTACTGCAGTGTGGAATTCCTTCTTCACTCAGCTTCCCCGAGCCTCCTCTCAAGGCCTGCTTCTTCCCATAAAGATCAGTTCACCTGGATGCAAGATGGCTGTCCCCTGATCCCTGTGGCCCTCACCGCTACACTGCTAACCTGGCTCTGTACTGCCAGGCAGTCTACTCCATCTCACCTGTGAGACTCTTAAGCACAAGGGCTGTATTTTTTAACGCTATGTGTCATAACTAGCACATACTCAACAAATACTTAATGATGAAGAATGGTTTAAATATGATCAAGTATGTGATGATCTTTGTAAACGGACAAATGTTATACAACAGGGATTATAATTATTCAGACACACGTGCATTTACTAGCACTCGTTATTATTCTCTGAGACACAAAGAGCAAAAGATCTTAAAAGCATAATGCCTAAATGCACTCCTTGAACCGACCACTAACCCTCCCTCAATGTCTTCACTTACCATTGTGTCCTACGAAATAATGGTGGGAATAAAAGATAACCAAGTCCAGTTTCCAAACCAGGCTGAACATCTCAATCTCCTAGAGAACTTGTTAAAAATAAAGATTACTGGGTCCCACCCCAGACCAGTGAATAAAAATCTCTGGGTTTGGACCTTTGAATTCATGGTTTTTAATTAGCTCTCTGGGTGATTCTGAGGCAGAGGGCTCATGGACTAGCAACCATTAATATACTTCCTCATTTCCTCTGTAACAGCCCTACTTAATGGTGCTTGACTGTCTGAACACTTTCAGGACAAAAGAACTACCACACAGATTCCACTCTGGATTAAGTTCACCCTGGAACCTCATACTTGCAGGCCTCTGATAGGCAGGGTGGCAGAGAAGTTCTGTGAATAGATTCCCTAACCAGGTTTCCTAGGCTCGATTCCTGGCTCTGACTCTAATCAGCCTTGCAACTTTTGTTAATGACTTAATCTCTCTGTGTCTTAGTTCCCTCATCTTTAAATGAGGGAAAATAATAGCACCTATTTTCACAAGACTATTGCAAGGTCTGAAAAAGACAGTATGTAAAAATCAGAGTCTGGTAACAGTCATCACTGATAACTCTAGTTATTATTATTGTTGATATAGCTTCGAGTTCTAAAATCAACACTTTAGGGCAAAACCATTCTTTAAAATATATAAAACACTTTTACTTGGAATATCATGCAACCATTTAAAAACTTTGCAGGGGGAAGGGGTAACATCATAAGGTAATTTCAGTCTTTAATTTTAAATTTCACACTCCTCTCTTTCTCAATGCAAATATTTCACAAAAACATGGATCAAATAGGCATTGTAAAGGGACCTTGGAGACCAACCATGTTACATTGTTTTCACCCTGTCCTGAGTTTGTGCTAGAGAGCCTTTGTTGTTCCTTTTTTGGAGCTCTGCCTTCTTGGATCCAGGAGGAAGTCAACTCACTGACTGACTAAGAAGAATCTTCCCTTGAATGTGGACTGAGACACTGTGGCTTAGGGACATTGAAGGAAGAGAAGGATTACAGGGAGCTGAGGCAACCAGGTTAAAGGACAACGGGGATGGAGAAGCCAGGAGATGGGGGCTAGGGAGGCGGGTGGTGGTGGTGGAGTTACAGAGGGGAGGAGAAAGAGAGGCTCATACATGCTGCTCTGGCTCTTGACAGATCTACTTCCTGGCTCCAATAAGACTTTTTTTTAAAAGAAATAAACATCTTTATCTAATTTCATTCAAAATTAAAACCACAAAAATGAAAACTGAATGTGCAAACAATCAAAGAAATGGAGAACTGGCCAGGTGGGAGGAAGAAGATTAAGTTCAGCAAAACCTGGAAGATAGGAAAAGAAAGGGGTAACTATATATAAGACAGGGAGAAGTACTGAACAGAAGTGTAATTGTGCTCTGAGCACAAAAGAGAAAGGGAGACTTCATAAATTTTAGGAATGCAATTCAGTTTTAAGTTTGGGACTTTGTCTATCATGCCTGTTATTCTCAATGGGGCAGCTGGCATATGGAGGGTAAGAAGAGTTCAAAA